AATTAATGTGAAGAATTAAGTGTGAAACCATCAGGAACCTTTTAGTCTCCAGTGCCACTATTTTCCAGAACTGCAACCTTCCTTGAGTCCCCAGAATTACAAGGTGTCAGGTTCTCAGAGACCTTGCTTGGGTAAAAAATCCTAAAAGATGACCCCTAGTGTTGTGAAATACATGAAGACTATTTTTATAGGCTTTATGGACAGATAAGTTGAGAGTGACTCTTGAAGAACCAGCACCACTTCCTCTTGTACCACTGTTTGAAGAATTGATCTTCCAGAATCTGGCAGTAAGTTTTAGGAGCTCATTTTTGTCAGTCTCTGCAAGATAGACTTTTCAGGATAGGAGATGGACTAAAAATTATCTCCCAAAACTTACTGCAACATGGAGCTAAAGAGAAAATGTAGAACTTGGAAAAAACAGCTTAGTGAAAAGCGTTTACAGTTTAAAAGCAAATAGAAAGTCCTCTTTTTTTAATTTCTTTTCTTTATATTTTTTTGTACAATGTACAAGGTTTAAAATGCTCATGAAATATTTTCAAAAAATACTGACGTTTTGAGCAGCTGCATGTTTGAGCTGCATTCCTAGGTCAAAGATGAAAAAATGGGATTTACAATAAAAAGTAATTTACAAAATTGTTTTGACTTGAGTTTATTTATTAATGATTAACGTATCTTTTGAGTGCATGTGCAAATTTTTTATGTTAACAGGTTTTATAACATTTAACCACTTTTTATTAATTTAAAAATTTAGAAATTTTCAAATTTAAATCTTGTACAAGAACTACAGCAAAAATCAGTTTGATGCATATTTTATCAATATTTTAGAAATTGAATTTTATTTATCACCAGTACTGACTTCAATGGATTTCATTAAATTCCTTTGAACACAACTGCTCAAAACGGTCTAAATGTATGAAACCTACACATTCAAAACATTATTACTCTGAAATGTTTAATGTAAATGTTAAGTGTAAGTGAAATGTTAAGTACTGTAAGGTCTTTCATGACTCTACATATTCTGGGGTGTGAATTTGATAGGTGCTTGATATAAAATAAATGGTGCTTTAAAAAGTCCTTGAATCTGGTGTTCATGAAAGAGTGGGAACCCTGACAAACGTAGATTGTTTGAAAAGCATGCATGCGCTGTTTTTCATATAATAAGGGAATAGGGACAGCCACTGAGTGTCAAGAATGAAAAACAATTTTTGTGCATTTGCACATTTCAGAATGTAGTGTATGAGTCATAAGGAAGTACTCATTTAAAATTTTTCTGTATAGGATTTTATTCTTCACTATTATTTTTTTTATTAATTAGATATTATTTATGGGGTTAACATATGTGATTTGTTAATGTACATCTGCTTCAAATGTTTTGAACAATTCATATTGTTCCTTGTAGGATGTGCATTACCTTGAGCCCTATCTGGAGGAGGTTGTTCATGAAAGGAAGGAAAAAGAGGAGTGGGCGAAGAAGTAGGATGCATGTGATGAGACTAAAGCTCATTATTGGTGTGATGTCTGGTGTCTTGTATTTAAGAGAAAATGTATTATGTGATGAGTCCCTATACTTATTAAAATTTCCTTTCTGATACAAGTCTTCAAATGCCTGTTGTTTTTTTTTCCTTGAAAGGAAAAATATCATGTGTTGTACAGTCAATAAGTCTTTCAAAGACAGTTTAATGGGATGATACAGTAGACTCCAAAGATAAGGCTATTTATTTAAATACAGACTTACTTTAAAAACAGTAAATGCACAAAATACAGTGACTTTGACATTTAAAAATGTCAAACATTCATACAGTAAAATTAGTTAACCTAAATAGTTAACCTTTCATCAGTTACAAAAGTACGATCACAAATAAATCCTGTTATGCATGGTATGTAATGGCATTTAAGTACTATAAATGAAGGCCAGTGTCAATGATACCACTACTGATACTGAAATACTGAGTATATGTTATTAATGCTTTACACAGCCATAAATGTCTTTTTTTTTTTGGATATAATAAATAAATTCTAGCTGTTCAACATTACAGTATAACAAATCCAGGCCTTAACTGCATATTATCAGATTTTTTTTTACAATTATAGAACATCAAAATTGACTAATAATAAAAATTTTAAATGAACAGTCACATTTAATTATGCCTTTTATTTAGTGTTTAGTGAGCCTCTCGATACAGCACTAGTACTGCAAGTATTGTGTTACGCATTATTTCTAACGCTTTAAACAGCAAATATTAATTGCAGCCCTTAATACTTTAGTTCTTTCTGTACGTTTGGAGTTGGTAAGATTTTTGAAAAAAGTCTCCTGCTCAAAGCCACATTTATTTGATCAAAAGTACTGTAAAAAGTAATATTGTGAAATTTAAATTTAAAATAACTTTTTATTTGAATATATTTTTAAAATGTCATTTATTCATGTGACGGCAAAGCTGGATTTTCAGCAGCCATTACTCCAGTCTTCAGTGGCACATGCTCCTTCAGAAATCATTCTAATATACTGATTTGCTGCTCAAATAACATTTATTTGTGTTAACAATGCTGAAACAATTTCTCATTGAGTTTGAATGTCTTACTCCATCATTTGTTGCTCTCTCCGTTGGGTAACACTGTTGACCGTGTCAATGAAGTTGCCTATGACACTGTTGAAGGAGTGCAGCATGGAGACTCCCAGCTCATTGCTCGTCTCGTTGATGTCAGGATCATAGGCTCCAAATAAAGGTGTGCAGACTTTTATATGTCCTTTTCCCTCCCTCTCTAGGATGCCAATAAGTTCAGTTCTGGCTTGCTGGAACTTCTCCCTGTCGTAATTGATCAGCGTGCTTTCATCCAGTGGGTAGGTTACACCTTCAGGATAACAGTCACGAGGGACCGGCAGCTCAACATATCTGTGAGACAATACATAATACAAATCAAATTACAAGAAAAACAACCAAATAGCTAAATAGTTAACAACAATGAACACGGTTTTTACCTTAATGCAGGAAAACCCAGAGCCAGCATATTAAAAAGATGGTGCAGAGCAGCTGTGCTCAGTGGATTACCCAGGATCTTCAATTCCTGTAGCCTGTGACAGGGTGTCAGTGCTAGGGTGAGCAGATCCAGTTTGTCATCATCCAGTCCACACTCCTCCAGACTCACACTAGTGAGTGTGGCACAACAGCGATGCAGAAGCTTCCGGAAGGTGTTGGGGAACAGGTCAGCTACCTCATGACCACTCAGGTCCAGCTGTACTATGTGCTCACTGTGCAGGCTGTTGGCGAAGTAGGCCATGTCCACTGCATTAAGACTGCAGTTCGCCAACTCGATACACTCCAGCGGAGTGTTCAGTGGACTGGCAAAACAAACAGATAATACAAACAAACAGATTATAGTTACTCAAAACAAGTGAGTAATTAAGATTAAGCCAATTAAGATTAAGCATCAAACTGCAACACTGGAATTTACACTAAATTCAGTAAACAATACTATCAATGAATCACATGTTATATTATATAATATTATGTATATATTAATATTAAAAAAAAATTTTTTATTAATTTAAACAATTTGACAAAATGCTGCATTGAGATCTCTGAAAAAAAGTTGAGTGATTGAGCAATAAAGATTTTTGCAACTCTGCTGCACATGATCTATACATCTAGAAGTCTTATACTTACCAAGACTGCATTTATTTGATCAAAAATACAAAAATAAAGGGGTAATATTGTGAAATATTATTAATATTTAAAATAACTGTTTACTATTTTAATATTTTTTAAATGGTGGCAAAGATGAATTTTCAGCAGCCATTACTAGTCTTCAGTGTCACATGATCCTTTAGAAATAATAATAATAATTAAAAAAAAACATTTATTTTATTTTTATTGTTTCTATAATCAATGTTAAAAACCATTGTGCCGTTTCATTTTTTGTGGAAACCATAATTTTACTCTGATGAATAGGAGGTTCAAAAGATCAGCATTTATTTGATTTTTTTTGTTACATTATAAATGTCTTTATTGCCACTTTATCAATGTAATGCACCTTTGATGAATAGAAGTATTATTTCTTTTTAAAAATTAATGACCTCAAAATCTCTAACAGTAGTGTATATATATACAAATCTATTATATACAACAGGAAACTTATACTTCACTATTAAATCCATATAACGTCTCAGGAATATTATTAAACATGCTACATCTGCTTCTGGGGTGAATTAATATCTTATGCATCAGCACCTATGACACGTGATGCTTTGACTATTATAAGGCACGTGTGCTGCTATTTACAGTAAATATAGAACATATTGTGTTGCCAGAGTCATGTCCTGGCCTACTTTGAGTTTGCAATGGGACAGCTGTCTGCAGACTAGCAGTTACACAACAAATATGCAACAATAACAACAACATGCAAGACATGGCTTGATAAACAGTTGATTATACTGCAAACAGTCAAATAAGACTGTCAGATCTTATATCTAAGTGAAAGATACCTTATACACTACCATCCAAAAGGCTGTCAGTAAAAAAAAAAAGTGTATCATGGTTTACACAAAAATATTAAGCAGCACTATTTTCAACATTATAATAAGAAATGTTTCTTAAGCACCAAATCAGCATATTAGAATTATTTTCTAATAGAGTGAAGGATCATGTGACACTGGAGACTGGAGTAATGGCTGCTGAAAATTCAGCTTTGCCAGCACAGCAATAAATTACATTTTTAAATATATTAAAATAGAAAATAGTTATTTTGAATTAAATAATTTGAATTTCACAAAAAAAAAAAAAAAAAACATACAATATTTTTATCAGATAATTGCAGCCTTGGTGAACATAAGACTTAAAAAAAAAAAAAAAAAAAACATTTACTGACCCCAAACTAGTGTATATATGACCTATGTGTATGAGTTTAAATGGCAGCTGTGGTCACATTTTGGTTTTATAGTCCTTACCTCAGCAGTTTCCTCAGATGCCCTGTAAGAGTGGAGAACCCCAGATAGAGCTCTCTCAGTTCAGTCAGTTTGCTCATCAGCTCACCCAGAACTCCCATGAGGCCTTGGTCTTCCAGAGCCAATCTGTGTACATTCAAAGCCTGAGCAGGAAACGTGAGCGAGCGCAGCTGAGGGAACTTCAGCTGGGAGAGCAGTACCTCAATGTGTGGAGCCTCCAGATGTACATTGTGCACCACTTCCAGCTTCTGCAGGCCATGTGATTCCACCAGCTTCAGGAGGTAAAAGAGGTTCCTGAGGCTCAGCGAGTCCACACGCAGGCCTACGAAGTGCAGCTTTAACGGGCAATGTCTGCGCAGCAACAGAGCCTGAGCCACCACCCCGTAGTTCCTTCCAGTAACAAAAGCATCCAAGCGGACATCTACCTCCACATCAATCGCTGATGGTGCTGCTTGGCCGGCCTGCATGGACACCATAGTCTCGTAGCACATGCGGGTAAGTAGTTCAGTTCGTGCCCAACGGCCAAGAGTCCGTCTGCAGGGACAGACCTGGTGTTCTATGTCTTGCAGACCAATTAGATCCACCACACGTAGCATTTTTGTATACGTGCTTGGAGCTTGAAGCACATAATCCCTCAGACCTGTGAGAATGGCCTCCAGACAGAGCCTGCAGGTGCGGGACGTGAGATCGTCTGGACAGTCCACTGTCCTGCCCAATAGTTTGCGCAAGTTGAGCTCTGTCAGAGGCCACGTCTGGACCAAGTCGTGGAGCATTGAGGCCTCTTCACGCAGATAGCTGGCTTTGAAGAGGATTGGGTAGAGATTATATGACAAGCAGTGGAGATTCTTACATGCATTTGGGCCGGTTTGAACAAAGCCCTCGGCTGCTAGGAACTTCAAGCTCTTCATGGCTGTGTTTGTCAGCTCTCAAGATCAGGGAATCTTCTTGGAGCTGTCAGCCTTTAGGAGACGTGGAGTGTTTCTTCTGCCCTCTTTCAACCAACATATACATGTGTGTCAAGCCAAGAATAGAAGAGTGCTGAGCGAGAGCATGAGGGGGGATAGTCAAGAGGGGGTTAGTTATTTATAGAAGCAGCTGTCTCATACTCTCATGACTAACAGCATTTAGATTTTGGATGGCTGGAAAGAAAAAAAGAAGTCTCTTACGTGTGACCATCAATGGTTACATTCTGTGGCTGTAGGAAAAATGTGGTATTTTCTGGGTTAACCATTGAGAATTGTGTTAAATCTAACGTAATTGTGCCATAAATATATTTTTAGGATATATTTTCAAAAATTCCTGAAAAAAAGGTTAAAGGAAAGGTGCTGCAAAATGTCTTTTGTTAAAAGTTTAGCAATGCATGGAGCACCACTCACACATTAGGCACCTTAAAACCAAACAATTTTCTTTGTCAACATACTAAATTTGTATGGCCAACTTAAACATGAGCAAAGTATATGTGGGGAACTTCTTACGGAGCCCCTCAAGGAACATGGTGATGGTGAATGGTGAAAAAAAATTAATGGGAGGAAAATTAATATTTTTAGTTCGCTTGCTCACAAAATAGTGTTCATCAACATTTTTGCTGTCAGAACTTTCACAATATGTGGGCGGGAAGAAAATATTTTTACGAGCGAATGCAATGTTTATCAGGGATTACAATAGTTTTGTAAAAGAATGCAAATGTTTTGTACGTAAACACAATTTTTCTCAAGGGGAAGCAAAGGTTTTGTTTTGTTTTTCAGGGGAACAATATTTTTGCAAGTGAATGCAAAAGCATTGAAATATAATTTTTCTTCCCATCTTCCTTCCCTTTAAAGGTCCCGTGACGTTTACTGTTGCTTTGCTAAGCTTTGTGAGCAAAATCCAGTCATTTCCATAAGAATCCTCACAATCATGAGTTTGGTATGAGGACGGGGATACGTTCTCACACAGATATAGCTGGTCACGAAAATTTGCTACACTGACCCAGAGAAAGCTGCTTGGTTATAAAGTTACTGTGTGAGCAGTGCTAGATGCATTGCTACACTATTGACAATGGAAAACAGATCCTATTTTTGTCTGCAAAATTTTGATGAATTTCCGATAATGTGAATGCACCTTAAAAACTCCCAATCACATGGATTCTTATTTACTGGTTTTCACCCATGAAAATTAACCTACTTATAGTAAATGTGAGGGAAAAAAAATTGAAGCTAAATCTTTATTTAGCTTGGTACATTGTGTTTTGTTGTTTTAACCATGATGTCAGCAATAAAGCATGGCATTTTATAATAACGTTCTCACACAGATATAGCTGGTCACGTAAATTTGCTACACTGACCCAGAGAAAGCTGCTTGGTTATAAAGTTACTGTGTGAGCAGTGCTAGATGCATTGGTACACTATTGACAATGGAAAACAGATCCTATTTTTGTCTGCAAAATTTTGATGAATTTCCGATAATGTGAATGCACCTTAAAAACTCCCAATCACATGGATTCTTATTGACTGGTTTTCACCCATGAAAATTAACCTACTTATAGTAAATGTGAGGGAAAAAAATTGAAGCTAAATCTTTATTTAGCTTGGTACATTGTGTTTTGTTGTTTTAACCATGATGTCAGCAATAAAGCATGGCATTTTATAATATAATATTAGCAGCTCTATTCAGAACATAAACATGCAATATGATTGAAAAGACTACCTTTGGTTTAGAAAAAAAACACTGATTGCAGCCTATGAATATAATAAGCAAGCTGACTTAAAACTACATTAATGGGAACAGTGATATACATATAACATACAATAGGAGTGGTCATATCTACATAGTCTAGCCAGCACATTCCTGAGGAAAAAAGTGCGTTACACACACAAACGCAAATATTACAATCATTATTTTTAGAATTAACCATATACTAACATTATACGTTTTCCAAACCAAAAAGTAAAGTCCTCCAAATGCACTATAATCTAGGGATGAAACCAGTTTGGACTATTCCGTTTATAACCACATGGAGGAGCTGCATACCAACATAATGAATGCAGACTCATTCTGCTGACTGAGATTATATTTTTGTGCAGGTGCAGTTCTCATATCATTGAAAAAAGTGGTTCAGCCCCTTTTATTGCTGAAATAATCCAGCTTTGTATGTTTGGCAGATGAACCACCTGCATGTTTGTTTTTACAAAAAAATAATAATAATAACACTGCTTATGAGAGTTTGCTACTCGGTCAGTCATTCAGGAGTTTTTCAGAACTCTTAATCAGGGTGGTAATGGTGGTGATGGTGGTGCTCATGATGATGATGGTGTTCATGTCTTTGAGGAACAGGCATAAAACCCCCAGGAGGAACAGCTGGCCCGGGCTGTAATTCTCTGTCATGGTTACTTCTGGGCTCTTGCTCGGGCACGGGTGCGTTTGCTGGAGCTGTACAGCAGAGGTTGCTGTTGCTGCTGTTGGGATGGATGGCACCAGGTCATAGGGTGATGCCCATGGAGCTTGCTGGGTTTGGTTGAGGCTCCACTATAACGGACAGACTTGCTGTGGTTGCGGAGTGACCTGAGGAAAGGAATGGATTTTCCAGATGACTCCACAGGGCTGCAGGTCTCTGGTTGAGAGCGACGATGATGGTTACAGGAAGAGCCATCCTGAGGCTGCTCCTCAGCACATGTTTCTGGAGCTATGATAGTCACATAAATTATATTTAAGGAAGCTCTAAACATCTAGTCTTCTAGAATTAGAATACAGTAAAACTGAATAAAACTTAGAATAAAACTGGCTTTCATAAAACAGCGATTTTCACTGGCCTTATGAAAAATATCTTGCCGAAAAGCAGAGAATAAATATTAAACTATCACCTTCAAATTGAGAAGTATAGTTCTCAATTCCAGCCAGATCCAGATAGTGATTCCTACGTTCTGTGTTTTCATCTACGGAGTAATGCTTCCTCTCTGAAACACCCAAGTGATCCGAGTTCAGTTGTCTGACAGAAGAAAATCATTGAACAGAAATCACATTATTAAATATTGTATCATAGTGTTGGTAACAGTGGTGTTATTGTTAACTAAAACTATTTAAAAATGTTTCATTAATTGAAATAAAGCTTAAAATAAAATAAAATTATTAAAATTAGAAATGTTGGCAAATAGCTGAAATAAGCACTATGATTACTAACATTTTAATTAAAAATTAGCAAAAAATAAACTAAAGAACTCAAATTAAATTGAAAACTGAAATATAATTAATATATGAAAATATTAATAAATACTTTATTAGTAATTCATTAATACTAAAATAACACTGAATTTTAACTATAATTTTAGTCATTTTGTTATCATTTTGTTCCACTGGGTAAATACTTCTAATTTCTTATATAAATATTTCTCAAGAAAAACTTATGATTCACTCATATACTGAAGACTATAAAAAATAAAAAATCACCTGATCTGAGAATGAAGGCTCTCTGCACACCGTACTACATCCTCCATTTGACCCCGCTCATTTTGAGACATTCCAGCATCCCGATCTCAAGGAGTACAAAAGTAAAAAAATTAAGTGAGTAACATTGCATTATAACAAGATTATTTCAGCAGAGCGATCAAACACTGCCTTAACCAAGCAGATGAGACCATTTGTTTATCATGATAGGTTCAGTCTTCACCTTTTCTGTTGCCTTTTCTGCCGGTTAATGAAGTGACACTCAGCTTCACATGCAGGGTTGTGGCATTGCTAAGCACCAGCTGTTTGACTGATGCCTCAACCACCTCACAGATCGTTTGCATCAGGCTCAACATATTCTGCAACAAACACAACGAGAGAAACTCACCAATAGCTAAATGATTGTTTATCACTTTAATGAGATGGTAGGTCTTCTGTCGATACTGAGCTTTACCTCTCTGGTTATTTTCCCATTGTTGTCCAAATCATACAATGTAATCATCCACTCTTGCAGATTTTCATCCATGACAGACACATTACACTCCTTGTCGTTATATCAACAGCACAACAATGGAAGGATTTGCAATAATTTATGTATCAGCATGACAATATGTTTATTGATCAAGATATCCTACAGCTCAGAAAACAATTCTCAAATTTTGAGTAAAGTTTTAGCAAAGCACTCTTGGTTACCATTTAAAGGGGTCATATGACGTTGCTAAAAAGAACATTATTTGGTGTATTTGGTGTAATGAAATGTGTTTATGCTGTTTAAGGTTCAAAAAACATTATTTTCCACATACTGTACATTATTGTTTCTCCTCTATGCCCCGCCTTTCTGAAACGCGTGCGGTGGCAGCAACAATAAAGTTATGCCGTCTTTCTTTGCGTGAACATTTGGGCGGTGTTATGCAAATCTTCCCACATCATGACAGACATGTGGGGGCGTGTTTGAACGAGGCGTTTTAGGGGGGCGTGGACGAGTCGTAACTTTTATAAAGAATATCTCTTTGGGTTTGAGACTTTAGTCTTTGCAACTTTAGGGATCTTATCTATTCACGAACAGTTTGTAACACTCCAAAGAGAAAGGAAAACTTGAAATCGCATCATATGACCCCCTTTAAATATGCACTCATATAGATGTGGTGTAGAGTGGCAGTTAACTTAAATCTGTCCTGAATTGTCACCTTTACCTGCTTGTTTCTGTCCACTTCACCAGTACAGTCAGCCTCCTTGAAAACATCTCCTATTACAACACAAATGTCCATTTAATAACATTTTCTTATGTAACAGCTTTATGGATAACAAAATTATACATGCATCACCTTACCCTCTGGATTCTCTCTCCGTTTACAGGCTAGAAAAAAAAACGAGAAAACAAGAATGAGAATAAAGCCGCTTGATAAATTGTAGCATCTGGCATGATATTCGCAAAGTGTCTTACCAGGTTTCGATTGCAGTTTTCCCATGTTGATTTCACTTATGGAAAGAACTAACGAGCTGTCATTTCAGAAACAACTGTGTCATCTTCTGTGCCATAAATGAAGTGGAGCCGGATATGCATGTTTCCATTCAAGTCTGTCCATATTATTGCCGGAGACTGAAAGAAGTTTGGGAAACTCTTCCGTGAGAATTTGCTTCACGCTCGCTCTCTCGCTGTGGAGGAACCGCAACTCGACTTACCCTCCCCTTTGACGATGTGCACCTCCTTCAGTTTTAACCCACTTTATTTATTCGACAGCCTGGTCAAATCTGCATGAGAATTATTATCCAAACATTAGACCATATTCCTAAAACTACATTTTCGGTTTATTTATTTCTCATTTCTCCTCTTCAGAGAGATTCACTTGAATCTCGCAATTTTCAGCAAGCTCTTAAAAATGACCGATTGTGTTTCAAATTAAACACAACATAACCTTTTCAGACCAAATATATATATATTTTTTAGCTTTGAGACACCGAAATGCAAAATAATATGTTTAAAAATTGTTTTTAACTTTACTGCATTTCGTTATACAAAATAACAGTTGCAATGCTTTTCATCAATCAAACAGCCATTACATTGTAGCGCCATCTGGTGATGTCTTGAGATAACGTATCACGAAATAGAAAGGAGATCTGTTTTATTCTCTCTCTCTCTCTCTCTAGTGTTATCACACTTGTTACTGCAAAAATGATCACGATAATCACTATAACTTTGCTACTATAAGCCTCACTTCACAGTGTGTGCAGGGAGATCAGAGCAGATGAAATATGAAACAGACACAGACGAGCCAATGAAAGAACCAGTATGGGCCATTCTGGAAGACTGTCCACCTAACGTATCACGAAATAGAAAGGAGATCTGTTTTATTCTCTCTCTCTCTCTCTCTCTCTCTAGTGTTATCACACTTGTTACTGCAAAAATGATCACGATAATCACTATAACTTTGCTACTATAAGCCTCACTTCACAGTGTGTGCAGGGAGATCAGAGCAGATGAAATATGAAACAGACACAGACGAGCCAATGAAAGAACCAGTATGGGCCATTCTGGAAGACTGTCCACTGAGAATGAAGAATTACTGGATGTGTAGATCTGAAAAACAATGAACAAACAGCCACATAATTAGTGAGATTAGATTAAATGCAACTGCTATTTTTTACCCTGTACCTGTTAATCCGAGGAAAGAACTGCTCTGAAAAATCAACAAAGTGCAGGGGAAGAAAGGTGCAAGTGATGTACTGGATATATTGGAAGAATCAAACATCTCACATGCAAGTGCTTCCTGTGAATTTTGCTTGACCTACAGACCAAGACAAAAATTTGAGCCACTAATTCCATATCAGAGACAGTATAATGAATTTACATGTGAACTTACCTCTCACCCAAATCAAATGAAAAGTTTTAACAAGAAACACAAATAAAAACGGAACAGACTATGGTAGAGGATTAATTGTCCGTCTAGTGTGAAATCAGGAAATTCTGCACATGAACATTAAACCACTGAAAGAAAAATTGAAACTGAAGTAAACGGTAATGAATCATTCACTTTCTGCTGCTGTACCAGTTATGAACAAGGTTATTAAAAAAAGGTTAAAAATTCAGTTCATAATAAACGTGCTATCATATGAAACATTTAAACATTAAATGCGTTTTATTATTTTATAAGAGTTAGGAAGAGTCATTGATCTTTCAGCTTTTAGTTTGCACAGTTTTTTTTAAATTTGTGCACAGAAATGTGTAGTAGGTTAAAGGTGAAGCAGGCATTTTGGAGACCCTGATCTTTATTCAGAGGAGCAGTAGTTGCAGTTGTGCTTGTTGATCAACAAGTGCTTCAGTTTTGGATCATTCCTGTAGCATGCAAGCAGCAACCTTTTTTCTCTTTGCTCCTTCTCATTCCGTATTTTCTTCTCCTCCATTTTCTTGGGTTTATACTCTACCCAGGTGAACAGAACAAGTGCCACTTTTCTTTTGCTCTGTTGCTCTTCCTGGATGTTCACATTTTGCTGGGTCTCATTCTTGGAACCTTCAGGAGAGCTTACGCAGAGCAGCTTCATCATGTGCTCATCCATCATTTGCTTCTTTTTCTGAGAAGGGATATCCGAATGGCCTTGAATGGCTTTGGAGTCTCCCACTTCATTGGGATGATCTTCCTCACATCCCTGGACCTCCACCACTTCACTCGCCCACACTTCCTCCCGCACCTCGCTTTCACTCTCCAACCAAGCAACCATTTTTCTTGGATTCGTTTCAGCCTCCAGCGGTCGAGGGCGTTCAGACTTGAGTAAGTCACGGGCCCGGATGGTCTTCCCTGTGTACTCCACATACTCGTTCTCCTCATCCTCTATGTCAATGAGCAGGAGTTGTGGAGGCGGCTCAAACAGGGAAGAAGTGGACGGCTGAGGCTTCACCAGGCTGGGAGGACACACTTGAGTTGGTGAACAATGCAGATCAACAAAGCTCGGAGGAACCACCAGTCGTTTGGGAGGATGCACTTGGGAGTGTCGGAGAGAAAAGAGTTCATCATGTGCTGGAGTGGGACGTGGAGGAAAAGCCAACGGTTTGGGGGGATCCACTTGAAGAGGAGAACATGGCAGGGACACTTCCTCAGGTGCAGGAGCTGGCTTTTGAGGCCGCATGGGTGGTTTGGTCATTGGCGGCAGGGGCTTGAAGCGAGCGGCTGGTAGAGTGAGATGTTCAGAGACACTTTGAAGCATTGGAAGTTCTCCCTCTATTGGCTTCAAGAAGGAAGATCTCACTGGAGGACTGACTAGAGTTTGCTGAGGTTTGACCTCCACAAGAAGTGGAGTTGGCTCAGTGGTCTTTTGTTCCTTCAGTTTTCTCTTCTTTTTCTTTTCTCCAACCTCTCTATGCTCACTTCCTCCCTCCACCAACTTTTCTAGACTCTGCATCTTTCTGAATTTGGCAGACTTTCTTTTTTTTCTGATGCACATTTCCCCTCTCCTACATCTTTTCAAGGCTGAGTGTCTCTCTCGCTTCTTCAGCCTTGTTTTGATGACTTCCTCCCTCATTTATTTCTCATTCTTCACCTTTCTTTTTACCTCTCTTTCCAGCGCCCATTCTTGCGCTGCACACTGCTGTGCCCTCTGAGGAGTCTCCCATCTATGCAAAAAGTGAGCAAAATGCTCAAAAAGTTGTCTAAATACACTGCTGAACAGTGCCATTGTGGACAGTGAATGCTGCAAGTGAATTTAGTATTTGTCGTCAATATCTGCAGAAAGTCACGAAAGTATCTTTCGATCTTTTCACTCCTAACACACCAACAGAAGACAAGAGTCAGAGCAGCAGTTTAGAGCTGCCAGAACAGAATCTCCATTATGATGTCACAACAGTGTGCTGAACCCTGAGAACTCGGAACTATGTGAGCAGCTAACATACACATACACATTCAAACATACACATTCACACTAGTGGCACCAAAAATTAAATACTGACCGTTTCCAAACAAGTTTCCCAAACACTCCTCCTGGCCTTGAATATTAAACCAAGATAGTAAAAAAAAATTACACATTTCAATTAATGTAGACCAAGAGAAGCTATAGGCCTATCATGACACATTGTACAGAAACATTCAAAAAGAGCAGCATTGAAATGTCTATGATTTGTGATCTTACAGTTAAAGGGTTAGTTCACCCAAAAATGAAAATTACCCCATGATTTACTTACCCTCAAGCCATCCTAGATGTATATGGCTTTCTTCTTTTAGACGAATACAATCAGAGTTTTATTAAACAATGGTCAGGCTAATCCATGCTTTATAATGGGAGTCCAAAATTTAAAATCTAAAAAAATTGCACCCATCCATTATAAAAGAAATCCACATGGCTCCGTGGGGTTAATAAAGGCCTTCCGAAGCAATGCGATGAGTTTGTGTAAGAAAAATATCCATATTTACAACTTTATAAACCTTAATCTCTAACTTCCGCTAACTGTCGTATGCGCATTCACGAGAGAGTGGTGTCCAGCGGATGATGTACCTCACCTTACTCTGTTCTAAAAAAATAAATAAATAAAATAAATAAATAAATAAAAAATCCAAGAGAAGAAATTGAGCATTTTAAAATAAAAATCCGCTATTCTTATTTTTTTTTTTTTAATCTGTCAAGAAAAAAAAAATCACTGGAGGGCGCTGTTTGTGTCATATTTTGAGAAAGCAAGTACTGTATATTGCATTAGATTTTTTTCATGAACCACAACAAAACAGGACTGCACTTTAAACTTTTAATCCAAGCAAACCTTTACCAATACTTTCTGTTTATTGGCTACACATCATACAAACTGGGAATGTATCAAGTATAGTCTATGAAAGTGCAAATGACAAAGCAAGGTTAATGGTCACATTTCCAAAAAAAAAAAAAGGAAGAAGATATAAAATACCACCACCATAAATACTTCAGTAAAAAAAAAAAAAAAAAAAAGATGATGTAAAAACTGGTCATTACTACACAAGATGATTTAATCGAAGGTCAAAAATGTAAAAACGGACCACCAAAATTTTTGCTAAATTTTCTGGAAAAAACAAAGAAAACATACATCAACTAAATACACCAACTGTAATCACTAACTCTACATCATCTATTCTTTCTTTTCCCTTATATCATAATGACACCTTTCTAGAGCGATAGACCTTTCTAACTGTAATGTTGTAATAGAGACAATCAAAACATGGCAACCTGTTCAGTGTAATACAAAACATGAGGCTGTTGTCAACATGAACCAAAAACTATCCAGTCTGAAAAAAGAAACATACTTTTTAGCAAGTGAAGGTAGAAATTGAATTTTTTTAGCAATTCATGAGTATGTAAGGTTGATTGCATTTGACTGACACAGCAAACACTAACATAATTAGGTAACATGTATATAAATAAGAAAAAGTACAAAAAGGCACACTGATGAGCACAGTAGAATTAAAGAACAAAGAAAGAAAAAACAATCTCTTCCCCACATCTAAGACTTTCCAAAAAATTATGTATCAGAAATAGAAATCAAGCTACTTATGACTGTTAGATTAATATCCTGGTTTAAATACACTTTAAAGGGGTCATATGATGCTGCTAAAAAGAACATTATTTTGTGTATTTGGTGTAATGAAATGTGTTTATGCGGTTTAAAGTTAAAAAAACACATTATTTTCCACATACTGTACATTATTGTTTCTCTTCTATGCCCCGCCTTTTTGAAACGCGTCGATTTTTACAAAACTAATCGGTCTGAAAAGCGAGGTGTGCTCTGATTAGCCAGCTATCCAGTGCGTTGTGATTGGCCAAATACCTCAAGCGTGAGACGGAAATCTTACGCCCCCTTTACAGATCTTCTTTATGCACCGAGAGCTTGGAACACTCCAAAGAGAAAGGAAAAAATGAAATCGCATCATATGACCCCTTTAAGATCTAGTATCGACAGTGTTAAGAGTTACATTTTAAATGCATTGCTTTTTTTTGTACAAACTAAGAGATGATGGTGGTAACCGATAGCATGTCACAGATGCTGTCTATAAATCTTAAGTTACATTTAACCTGGAATATTCCTTGAAAACCCTCTCCGTTACTGCACAGTATGTTTCGTCAGAGAGGGGTGTGATTGGCATTCTGCAAAGGTTTAATAATTGTTTAAAGGAATAGTTCACCCAAAAATGAAAATTCTGTCATTAATTTCATTTTAGAGAGTATCCACTGAACGAAAATTGCGTACACTGTTTTGTGTCAGCTGGCTGCGCCACGCGGATACGTTGTTTCTGTTCAAATCAAAGCGTAAATGACGTAAACAGCGTATCCGCGTGACGCAACTGACACAAAACAGCATATGCTGTTTACGTTCAGTGGATACTCTCTAAAATGGCACTAGGGTGACGCAAATAATGACAGAATTTTCATTTTTGGGTGAACTATCCCTTTAACAGATGCGTCAGTTTGGCCACCTATGCCGTATATGAGAATGACTTTCTATGTATATGACTGAGTTCGGCACACAAACGAAATAAGGAAAAGTACTGTTGTAATCTCTCTATTGCTTCAGAAGACCTGTGAAGTGTCTTTATGCATATATGCGTTAGCAATGAGCCCAAATGAAATACACAACACAGGATAATCAGAGGTATTGTGTAGTAGTCACAATAGATAAGGTAATAAATGTCATAATATTTTCAGGAGTGTAAATTTACATGAAGTGTAACCTTTTGGAAGCAAACAAGGTCTTCTGCAGGACAATCTGTTTTTAAAGTTTTTAACAAGCAGTAACAGTTCGAAGATTTCAAAACACTCATTTATAACATGAGATGTGTATTGTGCACTCTGCACTTGCATTAAATGTGACTTACATTAAATGAAAAGAACATTAGTGTTTTTAAATAAAGCAACAAATTGGCATGGCTAAATAGGAGAGCTGTAAAACTAAAAATCAAAATAGGGCAAAGAACTCATAAAAGGCAAAAAGTTCCTATCTTAATTCTGATCTCACAATTTTTCACAGTAACTGTAAGAGCCAAGAAACATTGCATTGATGCTTTCATGTCTCTTCTTCTGAACATAAACATTCCTTTTTCTTTTCAGAAAAATACAACCGTCAAGTCAAAAATTCATCCATTTAATTTCTGTTCATTTGAACTTGTAAAAAAGAATGAATTTCCAATCTAATACAAATGGATCTTTCTCTCATGGCACCCACCCACAGCAAGATTTTGAGAGATGGCCAAAGTGGCATCGATTGGTTTGAAACAAACACCTTGTAAATCTTAATCGAGATGTCATAACTGGATCTTCCAATGAAAATGACAGACTTCTCTATGATGAAGTATGTTTACTTCTCCAATCACTTAGCACGCTTAAACCTCGCCTATTTCTTACAATCGACTGCAAGCTCATATTCAGATCTGCTTCCATCCAATCAACACAACAATGGATATAACCAAGGCCCAACCTAATTTTTTTTTTTTCTTTCGGATGTACACCGCAATATGCAAGAAAACACCTGTCGCTACTTCCATTTCATTGTGACTTTAATACTTCACAACATTCACTCATAACCGTGTTCTTATGTGCACAAAAAAGGTTGTTACACAAAATTTCCACCGATTACTCACAACAGGTATGCACATAAATTTGATCTTACTGTCTTTCTAATGTTAATAAATCCAGATTATTCTACATAAACATGTCAAGCCATTTAATGGCTTTTAAAATACAAAATAATAACACATTTTTATGCAGAACCGATTCCAGATCTAATGCTTGTAATTTTTTAATGCTAAATTTTTGGTTCTCTTAGTTGTTCAAATGTCCAATTACATGTAAAACTTTTCGGCTTAAACCATTTCGAGTTTCTAAGGCCACCAGGACTTATTTTTACATACGTGTGCAGTTTTAGTTGGTTCTAAATTTTATGCTAAATGTAGAAAAAAAATCCAAGTGCTAAGATATTAATGAATTTTCTGTTCAAAAACATTCACACACACACACACACAAATACGGTTAGTGAATGAGACCCACTCTTCTCTCATCACCTTGAATCTGACCACATTTTCTTGTTTCTTCCACCAGACGTGGTGCAACACACAACCAAGACAAGTCCCGTCTAACCCCACTGCACCTTGTTCACTCTTCTCCATTTCCGAACGTGCAGTTTTGATTTTATTTAGTGTTTTGGCACAATAAGAGCACTCAGTTGGTAAACAATAATTAGACTTTTTCCTCACACGAGGTGCACTTCTTCCTCCCACTCTAAGGAGAGGTCAGTTACCTGCGGATCCTGATCAGTACTGCTCTCAGGACGAACTGCGTTAGGGAGATCTACACTGCTGCCCATACCCTCCAAGTCTGGCTCTGCTTTAGGAGGTTGTGCATCATCAACACATTCTAGTTCCAAAAGTTGTGATGCCATCATGCCTGCGCTCTCTTTCATTAGCGATAGGGAACCCTGCTCAGGACTCCCCACCTCATTCTCCTCATCCTGGGATTTGGCAGGTTGTCCCTCTCCAAAAACGGGAGGCTCAGGACTGGCATCTGAGGTGGCTGAGGGAATCAGTGCAATGCTCTGTGGATTCATATCATGGAACCAGGCCATAATGTTGCCAAGCAGGTTGGCATTGGTGGAAGGGTCCAGGCAGTCTGGGTCACTAGGGGTGAAGGCGTTACCCAAGGCATCAGGGTAGGAACTCATGTTAAAGGGTGTATAGTGGCTGGTAATGTTGCCCAGTCTCATAAGGCTGTCTCCCAGCTCCAGAAGCTCAGAGCTGCTCATGGAAGCTCGGGGGGGATCCCCAGTATGTGGGGCAGAATCCAGTCTAGAGGGCAGAGAGGAACCACTGGCACCTACAGAGGCATCGTTACTTAGCACATCCTGAGGCTCAGGGTCCAAGGCCAGCCCGGACTCCTGTAGGGACAGCTGAATAGCCAACAAAATATTGGGGTCATCCTCATCCAGAGACCCAAGTGCCTGAGGAGATAAAAAGGGTTCAAATTCTCAATACATGCTCTTTGACTCGTTTTTGAGTGAAGGAACTACGCCATCGTTCAAACGTGTGGGGTCACTAAGTTTTTTTTGGTTCGTTTGTTTTAATAAATTATTACTTTTATTCAGCAAAGATGCATTAAAAAGTGACATTAAGACATTAATAATGTTACCTAATATTTCCATTTCAAATAAATGCTGCTTTTTAGCCTTCAATCAATCAAATAATTCCAAAATAAATGCATCACAGCTTCTATAAAAATATTAGGGAGCACAACTGTTTTTAACATTGATAAGAAATGTTTCAGCATGTCAGAATGATTTCTGAAGGATCATGTGACACTAGAGACCAAAGTAATGGCTGCTGAAAATTCAGCTTTGCCATCACAGGAATAAAATACATTTGAAAATATATTCTAATAGAAAACAGCTATTTAAATTGTAGCAACATTTCACAATACTGTTTTAACATGCTTTTGATCAAATAAATGCAGCCTTGGTGAGCATAAGAAGCTTCTTTCAAAAACATTCAAAAAATCCTACCAACCCCAAATTTTGGCAGTGTATGTTTTTAAGTGTTGGTTCATGTTTAAACAGCATATAAAATGTTTTCTGGTTTATGAAAATGCATTTACTATTTTGTTTAATTTTGCATTTTTGGTTGACTAAATTTAGATGCCATTTTATAGTCAATTTGACAAATGAAAACATGAAATAGTAACCAAATTATTTTAATCAAAATACAAAAATATGACCAAAACAAATAATTGTGCAAAAATGAACACATCACACATTCGAAAATCTTTACATATAAACAGTATATTCACCATGGAGATCCCATGTCTTTGTGTACTGCCTCCCTCATGTGTTTCTGTAGACACAAGTTGGACATACATACATTTCTTAGTAAACTTAGTAACACTGACATAAAGCAGCTCTTTTAGTTATTTCTATCCTAACATTATGTGGGGTCATTATTGCCGTCAGGAGCTGTACCTGAAGTGTTGTCACTGGAGTCATGCGGTTCAGGGGTGTTACTGCGGAGGCTGTGCAGTCTGAGTAGGTCTCCTCTACGCCGCTGCCTGTGTCTCCGTCTGTACTGGAACTCTGAGTATTCCTGCAGGAACCATCATCCTCAGTTTAATTACAATAATGCATGGTTTCTTGTCAAGGAGCAGTTATTAAGTAATGGACAGATCCTTAAAACAATGGACAGACTCTCACAGGAATACTGATTAACTTTAATATTACAAGCAATGAATAAAATGCCTATTTGAAAACTGTGGCCTGTGTCTCTAATCCATACTACTAATATGCATTAAAATAAAATTTTAATTACAGAGACCCTACAACATATTTGGACACTTACATCACACTTGAAAATTAATTTCTTGGAATTATACAACAAAATGTCTAAACATGGTTTTAGTGAAAATGTAGTAGAGCATGTTCATGGTTAATACAATGAACTACACCGGTGGTTATTCTGCAAGGACACTTGTATGAATTTACAACATGACAACAGTTTAGAATGCTGATGTTAGTTTATACCTAATATGTAATTATCCATTGCAATAGAATTTATACTTTTTAAGTGTGATTGAGTGTCCGAATCCTTTTTGAGGCCACTGTATTTAGACATTTGAAAAAAAGAAGAAAATAGAAAAAAGCCAATATTATAATAGTTTTGCAGTTGTTAGAAAGACTGAATACAGATCATTCACACAGGCAAACTGAATGCATGACAAAGCAACCTACAACAGTGTCCACATTTCAAGAACGGTGAAGTTGACAACAGGACAGGAATTCTGGTTTATTTGAGCATTTGAGTTGAGTAACAGCATAGTCCTTTATCAGGAATATTCCAGGAGATGACCAGCCTTAACAACTAAACACCGGATTACATTTATTTTAACAGCATAATATCTATAATGTCAGAGGACATATGAATGACTATAAAATTAATGCTGCCAAATTTTTAAGAATATTTTGTTATTTTGTCTTCAGCAGTACCTGCGGCTGGCCTCCTGGATTGTAATTGCACTCACGCTGTGCATTTGATCCCCGTACTGGGTGATTCCTCACCATCTTTGGACACAGAATGAGATTCAGTGACTGCTAGTACTTTACAGCAACACACAACTCTCTTACATTATTACAAGGACATCCCAGAGGATCAGAGGGCATTAACAGTTTTGTGAGCTACAACTCTAGCTGGCTGTGTGAGCTTTGCAATAGCAGAGGTTAGTTAAAACAGAAGAAAAATGTAAACACAGCAACAGTGATGCAGTAATACCTCAGGAGAGGCAAATCCCAGATACTCCCAGTCCCACGTCCCACCAGCAAAACTGCAAAAGTGGAAAAAAGTACGGTGGCTGTAGGGTTTTATTTCTGTGTGTATAATATATTTTGGACATGGTGCCAAGGTAATATCCTGTTTTTGTGGACATTAACCATATTAATATAATAATATTATAATACTATTACAGTGCAAGTTACAAAGTTAAGTTTTTTTTAATATAAAATAAAACCAATAAATATATAATTCCTTTACTATAGTAATAATACCATTTAATATACTATATAATAATAAAAATAATAATACATTTATTTTACAAAACAGAAAAATTATAATACTTATGGCTGTCTTAATTTCTTTGCTTTCAAACGTTAAACCATAGAGCTTATAAAAATGGTGGAAATGGCAGCACAAGGATTTACCTGCGGCGGGGAGCCTCGGGAGAATCATTTGGAGCGACACCTCGAGCCACAGAGGCCAAGAACTCCCGTCTCTTCTGCTGCACCAGATACGTGGCACTGATGATCTTATGGCGAGGGGTGCGGAGGTAAGGCCTGTTCACCTTCTGAGCAAGGTCTTCGGTGACCATCTCTAAATCAGTCTGCACATGTTGGAGAAAGACGAAACACAACAGTATGTTGTGCAAGAGAAGGTTCAACAGAAACTAGGGCTGCACAATTAATCAAATTTCTTATCGCGATTACAATTATGGATGCCACAATTACGTAATCGTTCAAAGCGGCAATTAATTGTTCAAAGCCACTTATGTTATTCTGTGTGCTTAAGATGCTTTTTTTTTTTTTCTACATGTTATCTTAAGGTTTTTTTCATTGTTTTAAATTTTAGTTTTAGTATAACACTATAATACCATAAAGCACTAAAAGTATTTCAGTTAGAGTGTTTTCAGCTTGTTTATTTTCATATAAAAATACAGCATGCAGTTGCATCAAACAATGGTATAAACATCATTCAATGTAAATTGTGATAATCGTAATTAATAATCGACAATATGATTTTTGTCATAATCGTGCAGCCCTAACAGAAACAAATCATTGCTTCTCTTAAGTGGTAAATAGATATCAATCTCAGTACCTGCATAAGTTCAAATATTTCTTTCTTTGTGCTTTTGGGCTCCAAGAAGAAACTATACGGATAAGAGCACTTAAGGATGCGTCGGGTCTTGAGAAGTTCATGCACACCATCCTCAATGAAGGTGGTGTCAGGTGGGGCTCCTTCCCCTTGAAGAAACAGATACATTGACATTTTTACATATTTAGGCCTATTATTCAAAATACACCACACACCTGTTTATAAGAACATACTACATCACCCTTAAAACTAAAGGCACGTATAGTGCATGTGAAATATGTTCTACTCACTTCCAATGAAAGCTTTGCTCAGTTGTTCCATCTTTTCTTTGGCTGTTTTCAGGAGTCGTTCTTCTAACTAATTTAAAAGAAGTACCTTTGATGAATGATTGTCAACAAATAGTGAGCCAATCACTCAACTGGAATGTTTTAAAGACATTCATTACATAAATATTCCTACCTGGTAACTGTGTTCATGATTCTTGTATCGTGTGTAATAATGCATAAAACGGTCAAGTTCCTGAAAACTCTTGTGCTTTTTTTCTACCTGCGAGGACACAAACATAAAAGCAAAAGAGACTTCCTGATGGAAATTCAAGCTCATAGCCACATATAAACTCAGAACAAAAGCACAGAACCGGTTTTGTTACTTTTTACGCATGAGAAATATGAGCCTGGAAAGTAAATGTTTGGTGTTTTGAGACTTTCCTGCCCTTTATTCACTAGCACCATTCACAGAAGTCCACAAACAAATCACAAAAGATCCAAGTCAACGGCTGTCATGTGTGTAACGAGTACCTCCACAGTCATCTCCTTGGACTGTTCCTCCACCTGTTGGATGACCTCGTAGCGCGTGCAGCGATAGTATCCTCCAGTAGAGGAGCTGTGTTTCTTCCATTCCTCAAGACAAATCCAGCAGAAATCATACTTGCACTACAGAGAGATCCAGATGAGAAAGTAGAGCAAAACAGAACTCATCAAACAGGATCAAGCACTAAGCAGCTATAAAGTTGATTTAGAGATTGTTTTGAATTATACAATCAACCCTGACTGTCTTATAAACCAGCAACAGATTTCAATCTGTGTTACTAATCAACAAAGTAGTGTACTAAAGCAACCATGGGCCAGATAGTACGAGATATTTTATTTCACAATATAAATAGCCATCCAGGCACGAGTGTGCATTCAACATTCGTTTTTGTGAGCGTGTGACGTTGCCTTTCTTCCACGTGCTGGTGGCGTGAATAGCTTCCCCTGCCCCCTGCCCGTCACTCAAAACCTTAGTTAAGCCTTCATTAAGAAAATAACAGTGAGGGCCTCAGCACTGCCTTTGTTCAAACACCTGCCTCTGACGTCAAAAGGCTGTTTTGCATTACACATACATCTTGTGTCAGGGTCAAACACATTCAAACACTCATATGATATCTGTAAGAGATTTTATAATTCCGACATTACATTACATTGTACATTATAGAACAAATAGTATGTCAATGTCTGTGCATATGGACAAGCACATTATGACAGAAGTTAGTTATTTTAAGTCTAATAACATCTCAAAAAACATCAGCTTAATCTTTTCAGTCTGTTGAGTTTCCTTTAGCTTAGAATCTAAAAATGTCAAAATTGCCAAATTTGACAATTGGCCAAATTTGAATTTCTTTTATCTGTTAAATAAAATAATATACCAGTCCTTTAATTTGATTGACCAAGCAGTTTTCTAACAGTGCTGATATTTCTTATAACAATATTATTTCTTATAAATAAAATAGCTGGTCATGTTTTGTTTAAAATGCAAATACTCTACATTACATTAATTGAGAAATTGTATTAAAAATTGTTTAAAAATAATATTGCAATCACTATTATGCTGTTGTACTGAATATCACAAAACTATTTATAAAAACTATTCTAAAAAAATCTTTATTTCCTTTAAATTAATTGATTAAATTGATGTTTTTAACAATAATGGATAGCATGCTGTGTTTTTATATAGTTAAAAACAAATGCACTCATAGGGTAAAAATGTCCCCGATTTTTAATTCCAGGAGCCAAATATTGGTCCTTAATAAATGTGCCATTCATGTGTGATTACCAACTTCTCCGTTGATAGAATAAATTTTCCAACATCTGATCTTATTAGTCGTCAATGTATCAGCTGATAATCATCAGACAGTCACAATTTAGCGGGCTGACATTCGAATGGATGGGAATGTTTTTGTTCAGGTACTCCATTCTGTACTGACCTTCGCGCACTGCATGTGATTACAGCCTTCATTTTTCTGGATGGGGGATTTGCAGTTGGCACAAGGTTTAGAGTTGCTGAGTAGCCACAGGCAGTTGGCAGCATCTTCATAGGCTTCACTCACACCAGCCACTGCTCAGAGACAGAGAGGAGCTCAATATTAAAACCTACAGCAGCAGGTTATATATCATGAACATCCATTAAGTAAAGATGCAGGTCAAATGATCATGCACGGTAAAGATTAAATGCATGGCCAGGATGAATTATTTAAAATTATTATATTCAAAATATTCAGAATTTAAAAAATGTGAAAAGTCTGGAGCTCCTACATTCTTCAGGCTTCATTTCAGACACTTTCTCCAGCCACATCTTCCATGTCTCACAGTCACAGGGTTCATGAGCATCCCCAAGACACTCCCTGAGAAGAAACCCGAGAGATAAACATTAACAGTGCTTTGATGGCATTTTCGAGGATGAACATTAGGATTATCCCATCAAAATCAAAAGAAACAATATATTGTATTTTAAAGAAAATAACATTTATTTTTAAGACCATTAAGGGTTTTTATATCCACCAGACCCGAGCTCTCATTCCTATAAATGTACAAAAAAGTAAATGGGGGAAAAAAAGTACAGTATTATATTATGTACAAGTTTAATTGTTTTTTATTCACTTTTAAAGCATTTCGTTTTTCTATTCTTTTTTTATTTTTGGTTTTAAGTGTTTTACTGCATTTTTAATGAATTACTGTATTACAGTAATGAGAATGAAATCACAATATGACTAGTAAGTCAAATCTCAAATAACTGCCCTGATGACTTGTGTTCTACCCGCTTAAATGATAGAAGTACTTGTGCTGTCCAATCTATAAAGACTGTGTCTGTTCCCCGAATAGTGAGGTCAAAATATAAATTTAATGCAGGATCTAGAAAAAATCTGATCGTGATTAAACCACAAAAATGTAAAATAAATGAACAAAAAACATTTTTAAAGTTTGGGCTCCTAAACATTAGACCACTCGCAACCAAAGCAGTTATCAGTGGTGGACGAAGTACACAAATCAAGTGCTTGAGTAAAAGTACAGATACGTATAATAAAATATTACTCCAGTAAAAGTAAAAGTACTCCTTTTTCAATTTTACTCGAGTGAAAGTACTAAAGTACTCGATTTTTTATGTACTTAAGTAAAAAAGTACTGATAG